TTTCGGTTCATTCAACGATTACATACGAACGTTCCAGATTCGGTGTGTCTGCACCCAATTCAAGTTCAGTTCAAACCCAATCTGGTACCCACTTTGCGAACCCACACGATATTCACAACTGGTGGTTGTGTCAATTAAACACTGTCCTGTTTCGGATAGTGGTAAGCGACAGCAATATCCGTTGCAGTTTGATTATGAAAGTAACCTGTCACAAAGGCACCTGAAGATCTTATATCCGGCTATCAAAATTCCTTTAAAGATCGGTTCCTTTGAGCCTAAATCTTTCGTTGCGCCTCAAGCAATCAATCTGTCACATATCTTTCCACTTAGCGCTCCATTTGTTGACGTTATTATAAAGTCCCCCAGAGAGTGCTGAATTAGTTTGGTTTCTACCTTGAACCTAAAGCAAGTTATAGCCATTCGGAAGGGGGTTTAAGTTTGCCTAACGTAGTTTAAATGATTTCTCTTGAAATGCACCAGCAGATTTGCAAGAGTCGAAAGGGATAATGCCAAATGCAAAACCTACCTTTGCGGATTACAAAATAGAAATAATGAAACCAAAAATTGGACGCAAATCAAGCACTCCAAATAGAGTTCTCTCAGGCATACGCTTCAAAAGATTGTTATTCGTTTTGAGTGGAACGGATAATTAACTTAAGGCTTTGGGTGCGTATTGAATCCGGTGGATATCCTGGAAACGCCTTATTTACTGGGAACGTTAAATATGGAATGTGGACCAATTTTCATGATACAAATGAAAAGTTTACTGTGATTGAGCGTGAATAGCTCATGCGATATAAACTATCACGCTATCTTGGGATATTGTTAATGAGAACTGATTTCAAGAATCGCTCTTTTCCGTTTATCGTGACTATACTGATACTTCCCTTTCCTATAGGTTAAACACAATTTCAAATTGCATTTGGGCAACAGAAACAGCAGAAGAATCGGTCATGACTTCCTATCTATCAACACTTCATATCCCCGAGTGCAATTTTTTTAATGAAGTTAAAACCAAAGGCAACTTGAAATCTCCAGTAGATCCCGGGGAACCAAAGAAAATTCACAATGAATTACTAAATGCCCATCGGAACCTGACGTGCCTAAATAAAAATTCCACCCACGGAATCTGGAGGATTAAAGGTTGCTCCAGTAATTTTCATAAATTCATCAAAGATTATCAAACCTGTGGGGAAAACGCCCCGATATATGATAAATGCATTGTTTGTGAGAACTGTTTTAGAAATCAATGTTTTGTTTATGGACAAGGAAAATGGATGGTACATTTTCACTCTAGACAACATCAGAAGTGGCATAATTGCCTATCTGATTACCCTGTGGGGTTAATCAATAGTAGGATTCTACATCTTCTGTACAGGCCGGATACTTGAACAACAGTAAGGAATTGACTGGAGCGTTATGATTCATTACGAAGTATTGCAATATGTCTTTTTGGTTAGTTCATTGTCTAATAAGCGTATCCCTATGAGCAAAATGATTTGTTTGAATAAGAGGCTATCCATGCGGAATGCTAAAGATATACCGGGATTCTTTTGTGCTGATTGTTGAGAAGATACAATTTATCTAGACGGCAACGATCTCTCCACAACTTCTATATAATTCACCTGTCACTTGCACAGGCTACAATCGACTACAGATTGATAAAATAGCATTAAGTTGACACTTCTCTTTACCATGAACTAACGCGCCTAAATGCGTTTTTCTCCCCAATGAAATCAAGAATATTGGTTGTCCCACTTCCAACCAAGGATCATTCTGCTGCGTGCATATCGCAGTTGAATTAATTGTGTATAAGATTGGAAACAGTACAAGTAGTATCAGGGTGAACATTGCACGCATCCACTATCAAAAAGTGAGGGAGTGAATAAGCATTGTTTACCAAGACAGAGAGCTGGCTCTTCTATCCGGTATCAGTCCGGAATTATAAAGCTTTTTGAGATGAGCAATTACACAAGGGTAATTGCTTATCGGTTTAAAAAATATTCTATACCAGAAGATATTGTGCAGGAAAATGTTTACGGAGGGTAAAAAAAAACGTGTCAAGGACTGACAACAGACACTGTATGCCTCAGAATTATACTGCTCTGTTAAATGATGTTACGGATAGGAAGAAGTTCGAATTCACGCTTGAACAATTATTTATAAGTGTTGCATGTGATTCACGTAAAAGACGACGGTGGACATGTTTATGAACAAACTCATCTCAGGGGACAAGTTGTTTATTAGCAAATAAAGCCAAACGAGATAAATTCGATTACTTAGACGTGTCTATAGAGAAATACGTTTTTGTCGTTTGAGTTCACGACAGCACATTCATGTGCTGCTGAATAAACGGCAGATTTGTCAATAGTAATTAGTCGGAGAGAAAACGAACATAAATAAGAGCATTCCATTTATCTTGGTTATACTCGTGGAAACCATCTGTACGATGCAAATATCAAAACTATCCATTAGTTAATTTAATTGTTACTAACTTGAAGCCTAATAATTTGATTCAACTTGTCTGTTTTATTTTCAACAACTGTCCGTTTGTTTACAATTTACGTACCAGTGACCAACTTCTGTCAAACACACTTCAGAGAACTTGAAATCCCAGGAATCTCAAAGTCACATCCCATGCAATGCGTTAAACGGACTTTTGTAGTTTGCTCAGTTTCATAATTCTAACTGCTCCCGAGAAAAACGTCAGCAACTTGCCAAATCTGTACTGTTCTGGGACATCATTTTTAGATACTCTATCCGGTTGATTCCCCAAATTGGTAGACTATTGCAAGTGCAAGTCCGCTGTTGTACAGCTATTTCATTTCCGTGCTGTGATGACCCATGATACTCTGTGACAAGGTGGATATCTCTGGTCGTTTGTTCGGCTACACCTACCACGGTAATTAGATATTCTCTTCAGCTAAAAGTTTAGATCGCTTGAGTGTTAGGCTGTTAAGAAATAAAAGGTTTTCCACCAAACGATGCAAGACTTGAGTTTATTAACCCCAACTAAAAATCAACGAACCGGATGAACTCAACCAATACACCTACCTAACGTGAATCCCCAATCCATTGCGAATTTTTCTGCTTAGATCTGACAACCATTTTTGCCGATTGTATAGAACAGTCCTCACGGGATACATCCAATATTGTTCCGATTAAAATCTTTTAATTTATTCTTATGAATTAATGATCATATTGATCACATTCAAATATCTGGTGATTCAATGGTCATTGTCTGCATTGTTCTCCATCATATCTTCAACCGGACTTGGGGTAATAAACTGGTTGAAAGCTGTGTTTGATATCTGCTGTGAGATATTCTTTTTAGAAAGAAATCACTGAAGTTAACCGCAACCATTTATAAAGGAGCATTTTCTATTAAGTGTGTTTTAACAAATTCAGAGTCCAAAACAACGTACAGTTTTTAGGTACTTCGGAAAAGAACAGTATTTCTGTAGAGGAAAATCATCAGTCGGGCCAGCTTCACAATGGTGGTTTGAATTCTACCACTTCACTGCTCACACACAGTTCAGCGTGGGGTTTTACAGTAAGACATGCTTTCAGAAATGCAGTAAATATTCCGATAACTTGCTACACAAATCATTTTTCTATGCAGCAATAACAATAGAATTGGCTCAACATAATATGCTGCCTGTATTGGATCAACTTCAATAAAAATTAGCGTTATACCAGAGCACAAACATCCGGGATTCCCTTACTTATTGCAACCGATTACTCCCAAGTATAAACATATATCTATATATATATATATCATAAAATTGTGAGACCCAGAAGTTTAAGTGATTTAATTGCATTTCTAGTTGACTTAATTCCGTACTTGATCACCATTTCATAAGCATTGCATAGACATACAATTGATAAACTGAATACAAGACGAGTTTAAATAATCACCCGTAAGTATACCAAAAGTTGATCAGATTAGAACTCACAATTGGGTTTAATTGATCCGTCTTTTGAGAATGAAACAGAGAACAATAATTTTCTTCTACCGTTTATTTGATAGACCATATTGCACTCGGTGTATGGCATTTCCTGTTTCCTCCCTCCCCAGTCACAATGATGCATCATTTTCTAGATTAGGTGGTCTGAAATTAATATAACTGTTGAAATCGTTTGCACCCCAATGGGCTGGACGCGGTACCGGGTCGAGTGCCTGCATATCTACCTATTCTTAGGCGAGCGTGTAGCGACAGGACTCCAATCACAAATTTTCAGGACTAAACGCACGCCATCATCAATCCTTTCTAAATGATCACCATCTGAAACAGCATCAATTTACGCCATAATTTATTTTTACGTAATTGCTTCAAAACAGTGGGATAAGTTAGTGATGCATAAAGGAATTGGGCAATGGATTCCGCAAAAAACGTTAAAAGTCATATCAAACCATTCCAAATGTGTGCACACGGCCATCTTTGATAAAGTGTCAATATGTATTTGGCCTAATTTTCATGGCACCAGCTGGTCTGAATTAAGATGTGTGGATAGTCATGTATCAAACAATGAAGTACAATCCGTTGTCAGTTTTAAAAGTAGTTCACAGTCGATGTCCTACTGAAAACCTGTTCTCGTAGCTCAGAATTCCTAAATTCACTCAGTATGTTCGCTAAGATTCGTATATTGTTTGCAAACGTGATAATTTTAGCCTAGTTGCGAACTTTAGCACTTGTGCGAAATTGTCAGTGTAGCTTGTGAGGAAACGTTTGCAAATGAGTTGCAAAGTTCGGTGAACACACTGAAATGAACACTTAATTTTTTTAAATATAACGTGTTGAATAAATATGACCGGACCAGTTCAGTTTATTTGGGCCTATTTACTCCATATATCATCGTGCTTTGTTTTTCATTAATCGAAACCCCTACAGAACACTAATAGGAGAGTCTTTTCAAACCACGGGTTCGAAACCCAATCAATTTTTCAATAAACCAACTTGCCCGGATAATTTTCATAGTGGTTAAAGAAAAACCTGCATTTAAAGAAAAGGATATCCCCACTCGATGATACTTCGAGCTGCTTTCCGAATCAGATTGTTTTCCGAGAACACAAACAGAGCACGATTTGCCGTCGGATGTGTGTCCGGGAGCTCGATGTTCAAGGTCCGTTTGGCCAGATTACCTACCGTGTCATAACGTTCTTCCATATTGGGGAAGGCGGGCAGTGAGCTGACCGTGGGTCCCGTGGATGCTTGCGTAGAAGCCCGATTTGACGTGGACTGTGTCGGAGCGGAAAACGACATTGGATTGATGTAACAAAAAATCGGCAATGGTTGTGGTCCGGGAGGTACCACAGCAAGGTTGATGCTGTGAATAAAATTTAATACAGATAGGATGTCCTTCCCAAGAACACTTTATTGCACGACTTGAACATAATTCGTACTGTGAATGATGGAATCAAGAAATATCCATCCGTGGGTCTGGATTTTCCACTGATTGAACGGGCACACATTGAACTTGGATACGTGAAACATATTGATTCTATCACATGAGTGAATTGATCTGCATTCCGAAAAAGTCAGGGAACGGGCAAGGATGAACTACATGAACAAGCGCTTTGTGAGCCCTTAAAGAAACATGCACCTTATAGGGTGCGATACACGAATCAATGAAGCTGATTTGCACTGTCTTTGTAGAAATACACACACATGTATGCACAAAAACACGTGAGAATAAAGCCAAATTACGAATGGGCAATAATCAATTGATTGATGAATGTTGTATATCCGAGTTAACTGGCCTCATCGCATACGAGATCACGGTGCGGGTGGTGACCTTGTTATTTTTGATTTGGGGATCAAAATTGATACAGACTAACATGTGTACGCCTCAATTCGTGGGATATCAATCCAAACGCGTGCAAATACGGTCATTGAGACTCAAAATCAGTGACTGGTATCCGGAACACAGACAGATAGACAGACAGACAATCCGATTGACAGCCAAGCTGGCTGGTAGTCAGAGAAACGAAACGGTAATTGGAGAGGCAGACACTTGTGGAGGAGGGAGACAGCACCTGTTAGCACAAAGTTTGTGATATGCTGTGTTGTTGTTGAGGTTCACTTTTAACAATACTATAAAACACGTTACCCCCTCCCTCTCCCCAAGAAGTTTCAAAACCAGTCAGAGAGACAGGCTGATTGAGAGTGGGAGAGAGAAGCAGCAGGCAATTTTCTCACAGACACGAGTAAGACAAACAGGGGAATAGGCATGCACAACTGCACACACACACACATACACACAAACACGCACACACATCTTGCGACAAATAGAAAACTCAAACGTGCCATAGGCAGAAACGCACTCGGACGCATCACACGAGAAACGGAACGGAAGTTCAACTGCGTTGCATGGTTGTAATTTTCCCATGTATCTATCTGTATGTCCGCCTATCGGGTTGCCTATCTATCGTCTCATCTGTCTTTGTGCGTAAATCAGCCACCACGAAAAAGAGAAAGTGGTTATGTTGTGTGCTTGTGTAAAAGTGTGTAGAACCACGTGCTTATGTCCTGCTCACTTTCGCTTGCCTGATGCCAAAGCTACAACATTACGGGTAGACTCTGCATGCATGCAATAGTCAGAAACGATTGGGAACCATTCTGATGAAAATCCTATCGGCCCATTTCATAACTCTGACATTCCTCTGATCGCCCTACCCCAACCCCCATCCCACACCCTCCGTTTATCATCCTTCTCGTCCTCTGACGGCCCTACCCTAACCGGCTTCCACCCCACACCCACGCCCGGCACTTCTCTCTTTCCCTCGAGCAAACGACCTTCGGCAGGAGGGGAAATGCTCCTGAGCAGTTGGGAGGGTTTTTTGGAGTACCCTGGCAAGTATGTCACAGAACCGTACACTTGATCGACTGTTTACGGGTAAACACTAGCATTCTGCCATTCCATTACCCACACAGGCACACATACAGGCAATGGTTCTAAAATGTTAAAGCTCCGTATTGCTATGGATCATTCATACAACAGGGAGTGAAAGTATCTAATCCAAATATGAACAAATAAAATCCCAACAAAACTTCACAATTTTGGGATCAGGTGAAGCTGAGCTAGCCGTTCAATTACAATCGAAATATAACGACGATGACGACGAAGACCTCGTTTATTACTATCAATAATATTGTTACTATCTATCATGCACTGCGTGCTCCTGAAGCGATATTTTAAGAGGTAATATAGTGTTATTAATGCTGACATAGAAAGATAATAATTACTAGAAAAAGGAGATACTCAGTTTTCTGCAATGTAAAAGTCCTGATTGCTTCATGTTTTACTGAGAGACTCATAGAAGGATAAAAGCTAATTTCAGAACAAAAATATATTTTGGCAGGAACGGTATATATTTATCCATAAGCAACGAAGAAAATCAGCAGCCGTTTACACTGCATGAAATGAGTTTGACAGATCACTGACATGGTAGACAGGTAATCAGATGAGACGGAACGAATCTGAGGGAACGGGCAAATAGATCAATTTGAGAGTGCACGGTAGCAGCGAAGAAATGATTCTTAATTCTTTAACACCTATCACAGCGGGAATTTATTTAGTGACAGTCGACAACACACACTGGATAAGTGTTACATCCCCGATGGGGAAAATCGGTAGTCCCCCTTTTCTCACCCCGGGGACTCAAACTATGTATCTCCGGAGGTGGAAAGAAATACATAGAAATGAAACCAATGCACAGGCCAGGGTATCTGAGAATTCCTATAGACAATGCAAGAACCACGTTTTTTTTATGCGACACTAAGTTTAGTTTATTAACCACCAAATGTGTCTCTCACAGGTATGAGTATCGGCTCCAGAAAGAAGTCCAACAGCGCACTATTTACGATCCATAACAGAAAAGAAAGAACTTCTCAGTACTCTTTATACCCAACTACACACATTGTGGTGAAATCATGATTCCCAATGTGTGAGACTCAGTCAAGAACACAATATTTATACCCGAGTATTGGTGAATGGGTACAGAAGAATTTGGAAAGAACGAATAATGTTTTAGAGGAAAAATTATGCATATATATCCCAGTGAGTTTAGTGAGTCGCCAAAAAAATATTAATTTTCTTTATTTTTCCTCTAATAATTCAGACATTTTGGAAGCAAAAAAGATGAATTTATTATTGTTCTTCCATTTGATACAAACTGCAATCTCTGGACCTATACACGAGAACAACCTCAATATTGTAGTGTGATAGATGGTTTTCCACTCAGGCAGCATTCTACTCCCATTTCTGACTATCACTACAACCTAAACAGTAGCGCTTAGCTGCCTAACAGAAACCACTGTGTCCGATTTGTTCAAATAAAACTCGTAAATGAGTAGCAGTTGAGAACATGAAAACATCTCAATTGATAAACGCTGGTATCACGGTCTAGATTGCTAATGTTTTGAAACCTGGAACTGGGCTGAGCTGTTTTGTGCTCCACATCGCTGTTTCTTGAAAGCGTTTTGGAAGAACACATTCAGATCACCAGAAACTTAGTAAATATCATTCAATTTAGGAAAGCAATAACGAGGATGTATCATTGAAGGATATTGTTATGCTTGATCCCATTCGATGCTCATGGACTCCTGTAACACCTTTATGCTATGGGTGTACGTATTGCACTCGTTGGGGGATTACTTATGTATTACCCGTATAATGCATTTTAACTGCAAGCAAATCATTGTATAAATAAAGATAAATAACGTTGTAAATCCAATACTCTCTTTTCTTGGGACTAAGCAATGCATATTGTTTTATCCATTTCGATATAGAATTCAATGTGCCAAAATGCAAGGTTCTATCCCTACGGCACAGGAGGAGATTTTCATATTTCCTCGGAAACGAACAACTGCCACACGCCACAAGTGAGAAGGACCTGGGTATCATCA